ATAACTGCCGTTTTTGTGGTAAAACAGAATATATTATATTTCTATGAGTTATTCACAATGTTTTTATTGTGAAATATGGATTTCATACGAAGAGTTATTATCCCTTTAAGGTCTAGGTGTGTTCGTTTTCAACTTTCTGCCCAGTGGGGTAAGTTTTGGTCCATACGAGGGAGAGATTGCATTTACTACAGACGAAGAGGATGTGTTCGACCAGGGAATTATATCCGATATAATTCCCTGGTTGGACCAAGGATATGGTTGGTTGGTTCATAAATGATTTCCACGTTCTTTTTGTTCAGAGAGAGAGAGAGAGAGAGAGAGAGAATTCCAACTCTTTCTTTATCGGGACATGAACGTACTTCACTTCAGCGGCAAAGACAAGAATTTTAATTTTTACGAAAGTAATCGTAAATTTCTTCCATATTCAAATGACTCTTTTAAAAATTTCAGTTTACGACACTTGTAGCCAAAACGCTTTGTCGTCTCAAATTCTTGAAACAGGCGCCACTTCCTACATCTGTCAATTCCCAGTATACAACAAGAGCACAAAATCTATATTAGTGACTATTTAATAGAAAACGCAGTGGACAGGGTAAAGGGATTGTGTGTGTGTGTGTGTGTGGAGGGGTGGTGGTGGTGGCTACAATTAAGTGTCCGCCGTACTGGAAAGTGATGATCGATATCAAGAACTACAAGCCCTCAGTTGCTTCTGTATAAATATACATGTTTACAGGCAGGGTATGAAGGTATTGCGAAAGCATGCAGTAGCGTAAATTATATCGCATAATTTGCCAGATGCACGACTCAAAAAGTAATAAATTTAATCTATATGAATAATATAATAATAATGACAGCATATAATGGAAGTATGTGGCAACTTATGTACAGCGCGGTATCAATTTATATAATCATATGCGTATTAGTATAATTCATTGAACAACGAGGGCCAAGGTATAAATGGGGCTGTACTCTATAAATGTGTTTGCAAGGTAAATTAAAAAAAAAAACAGCATTAGTTCATAAAAGCGCAACTGACAAGTGCCCACACACACACATTTTTAATTCTAACATTTTATAATGATTATTGATTGATTGATTGATTATTATAGATTTTAAATGGTGACACCCCCAGCCATTACGTCGACGCCCAGGATCCCTCCAGATCTAACTGGTTGCGTTATATCAACTGCGCCCGTACGCCAAGCGAGCAAAACATGGAAGCTTTCGTGTATTTTGGCCAGATATATTACGAAGCTATCAAGCCATTAAATGTGGGGGACGAACTACTGGTATACTATGGGGACGAATACGCATCGTCGTTGGGCATAAACGTAACGCAATGGGACGAGATATTAAGTGAATGGCAGTGGTACTGGCCTTAATAACCATATATTCAATGCACTGGGAACATCTTACACGCCGAGCAATAAAATTTCAATTTTTGAAACATAAGTTGGCTCATCGTTCTAGGCTTATGACTTTCACTTCTTGTTTAGCTGACCAGGAAATTTAAATGGTAATCCGAATGACTGATAAGTATGGCGTGACCAAGGTTTTATGATAATTAGTTAAGCATCAACAAGTAGTGTTTTGGGGATTACAAAAAACATACAGTAATTGATGGAGTGTTTTATTTGCCAAGGGATTAAATTTCTCTTCAGTGATTAAACAGTTCAATAAATCAGAAAATACCTTTCACGACAGAAAAATGTTTAAAAAGCTGCTGGCGCAGACTTTTCTTACTTCAGAATCAATAACCTTATCTGATTGTATGAAACTTGCTGTTGATAATCATTTTAAAGTGTGTAACTTTGACTATTGCTATTCTAATTCTGATATCGAAGTATAGAAAAAAATTAATGTAACAGCTAAAAAAATATAAAATGTATAAAAATAGAAAGTATGACAGAGCCAGGAAGTCTACAGGCTGCACATGCACATACATAAAAATCGGTTCCTATACTTAAAAAAAAAATACACAGGTGAAAAAAACCATAATAACTGCTTAATTAAAGAATGTTTCCTACAAAATATCAAATAAATGTTAAAGTTTACTTTACTTTTGACTGGTACATACCTTGTGGACAGATGATAGATCTGGTATTTTATTCATTCTTTTTCTTTTTCCCTTTTATTTTTTTGAAAACGTGTTCATGTTTTGGTTCATCTACCCTGGTAGTTGTTTTAAACTAAGATAAATGTGGAATTAAAGTTGACTTTTATACTGCATATTACATTTTAAAACAGACGTCACAACATTGCACATGACACCAGTGACTACCCAACATCAGTTCACCTAGAGAAGGTGGAGTTGTCACCCCTGTAAAAAAATGCTAGGACAAGTAGAGTTTTGGAGTTATTTTGAATTTCTCCAAGCATGCTGATACTTATTGTTGAGAAAAAGAAAAAAGGGATTTGTATCACAGTTAGAAAAATGTGGAAATTTTCTGTTACATGGAAAACATCATACATCTCTTTGGACCCAACAGGCCTTTTAAAGCAAGATGATTTCATTTCGTTTACTGAAGAGCTCGCTCTGCAGCATTCTTTTGTTTACTTGAGAACAAGCTCTGCAGTAAACAAAAGAAGTCAACATCTAGCCATCTATGCTAGCTGCAAAAGGCCTATTCAGATATACTGGCCATAAGTTCCTTGGTTTGTATAATACAGGTGACTTTCAGAGGCGGATTAAGACCGTCTTCTGGGTCTTCCGGAAACCGGTCAGATTTTTCAAGTTTACATTGACGGGTATCTAATTTTTTCTGTCCGAAGACGGTCAATAAAGATAATTTGGAAGCCTGTCAGAAAATATCTCTGGATCCACCCCTGACTTTCTCCCATGCAACATCATGATACAAACTAGTATTATAACAGAGCCTGGGTACCAGACAGGCACAAATTCCCAGTGAGACAATAGCAGCCTTTACAGTGCAAATTTAAGTACAATTAGCTTTGGCTACTATCGCCAATCAAAAATAACTACATAATCACATATGCTTATATATTATTCACAGCTTTGAAAAATTTTAAAGATATAAAATATATGGCAGTGTACCCAGCCCAAAGTCTACATAAGGAGTGCACTGTGTATCTAAAATAACTGTAGCAGAATTCACTGTATTCAGCCTCATTATATATATATGTGACAGAGAACTCTGTGGATCCAGCCTAAATATGTGACAGAGTACCCTGTGGAGCCAGTCTGAATATGTGACAGAGCACCTTATTGAGCCAGTACAAATATATAACAGAAAATCCATCTATTCTGAATATATAAACAGTCTCTCCTTTGGATCTTGTCTAAATATATGACAGAATACCCCGAGGATCTTGGCTAAATATCATGCCATACAGTACCCTGTGGATGCTGTAAAAACATGTGGTATGTGTATGTTAATCTAGGCTCCTGTCTTTAGTTTGGTTATTTACAACTTCTTTCCTCTCATAGACATCATCCAGAGAGGTATCTTGATGGCTCCAGGAGTGACGGCAGAAAGCCAGGAGTTCCCATTCAGAAACATCAAGTCTTTAATGGACCGCATGTTTAATGGTTTTTTACCTGTAAAAAGGCATTGCTTTATTTTATAAAAAACAAAATATTTCCACTTACATCCAATGGTATTTTGGTAGAGATCAGGGAAAATATATAAATTCAAAATTCACCATTCAAAGTAAAAACAAGTTCAATGTAGCATGTTCCTATCCTTGTTCAAAAGATAAGTAAACATGGATCACATCTCGACTCATCCCTGCACTTGGATTGGATGTTTTATTCCATTTTTAATTGGCTGAGAGGGTAATAGAGACTTTAGGGAAATGGAAAATATAAAATATATAAAATATATATTAGTACATTTTCATCTATCCATGTAGATGCATACGTTACAATGAATAAATATATTATAAATAAGAATATTGCAGGATAAAAATGTGACTGTTAGGCATTTTCCAACATGTGCAGATTACCTTTAAAGTTAACGTTTTCAAAAATTAAACATTAAAAAATATAACAAATCTTACCATTTATATCAGTCAAATCGTATTCTTGTCCAAGATCTGCTGTCATCAAAACTTTTCCACTTTTCTTCATCACATTAGGATCTGAAATATCAATGTAATAGATAAATCACTTGTTCATATCAGCTAATGCATTCTTCCTCTTTTTCTCTTCTTTTTCTCTTTCCCAATCACATTTCCCCTAATTTTTTACCTTGACTTTCTGAACACTTACATCACCATTAGAAATTGGTATTTTATGCGATCTAATTCACTGCTATGAACTTTTTAGGAGAATGTTTATTTTACGGTGATAAAGATGAATAGTAATGTATATTCTCACCTTGCATGCATACTCTTAAAATTTGTGATATTTTTTAATGCACTGAGCAAATCCTCAAATAACAATCCCAAATGACTGAAACAATCAAACTTGGACATTTTTTTACTATGAAAAGGCCACCAGAAACCTGATTTTTAACATACTCACTTAGTATGACGAAATACAGCTGTCATTCTTTGCTAGTGGTTACAAAATGTTGAATTTGACCGAAAATTTCAAACTTTCTCTGGGAAGCTGTANAAAAAGGCCCCCCCCCCCCCCCCCCCCCCTCCCTGAAAATGAGTAATGACCTCTGTATATGTGACTGCTATGCACTTCAAGAAACATGCTTATTCAGGCCCGTAGCCAGCAATTTCAAAAGGGGGGTTCTTTTTCTGAAAAAGTGGACCTTTTCCCATAAAACCTTCATGTACCTAGAACAAATTTTACCCAGAGTGGACCTTTTCCCGGCAAAAGGGGCGGTTCTTTCGAACCCCCCGAACCCCCCTGGCTACGGGCCTGTTATTTCATATTGATAAAAAGTAACTGAAACCTATAGCCTCACCTCATACACATACTATAAACATGTGTGACTTTATTATCTTTTTTTATTGTATCGAGCAAATATTCAAATAATAATGCCCAAATGATTAAAAAAAATCAAACTTAGGCATTTCTTTTTCTACGAAAAGGCCACCTCAAACCTGATTTCTGACATACCTGCTGCTAGCTTGGCAATGCACATTCCAACATACTGTGGGCTTTCTGCATTTGCAAACAGTCTTGCTACCTAAAAACAAAACAAAGTTTTAATAATTTGTCACTGTGTTTATGACCTTCACAATGGAATCAGACGGTACATGACCGAAATTGCCATACCCATATGAGCAGCATCACTCACTGTTCATTTTAAGTGCATTAATTAAGGGAGCAGGTCCACCCTTCAGTTCTTGGTCAGAAAACTTTATTAGCTCACCACTGGAGTGGAAACTAAAGTTTATATGCAATCTGCACCTTAAACTTCTCTTTCTACAGATGAGTCTGCTTATTCTAAATCAAAATTAACTAGACAGTACCAGAGGCGAAAACTACAGCTGAGTGAAAAAAAATTAAAACATAATTTTGCTCCTTTGAATGGACTATTTAAAGTCGAATGGACGGAGTGAAGATGGCTAATTAACAGAAATGAAGAGTCTGTACATAAAAATGTGTCATCGGGAGCCTTCCCATAAACCCATCGTACTAGCTGGATCCATCTTATTCTGTGGGGATTCTCTCCAAATTGCATTTAGTGTGAGAGGCTTAAATGTCTGGCATGCTACTCAAATTGCTAGGGGGTAATATTAAGGACAGTTAATTACCCCCTAGTTACTCAAGGGGACGTGCCAGGCAATCAAGCCAGTTACACTGGAAGCACTTTAGAGAGAAGCCCAGCAGTTATAGATGGATCCAGCTAGTAAGATGGGTTTAGGGAAACACAGTCTAACTCACCATTTCTTTGGATACCCCGGGACTATCACCTTTATCTGAATGGTCTCCTTCCATCATCTGCTCTGTGAATTCCGTCAGAACTGCTCCTGGCCAGATACTCAAAAAGGCAACATTGTGCTTCTTCAGCTCTATGGCACAATCTGCTGCCATGCGGTCACACTGAAAACACAAACATATCACAGGTGATATGATCCCTATTTGTAACAGTTGCTTTCAGTTACATTACTTTAATTTGTCTTCCTGGGACCTGTCTTCACACATACTTAATACGAGGGTTTGCAATCACAGAGTCCATCTCCTGAAGAGGTTTCATTAAAAAGACTGAATAATATCTTAGGTACACACACATCCAGTAATTTGTGTTAGTTAATTCAAGGCCTGCATCTTTGCACTCGAACTTGTAAAAAAAAAAAAAAATGGATATGCCCTTGTTTATGTTTAGATTTTAAGGGTGGTGGTCTTACAAAATTTATTGAACTGATACACAGGCTTAAATCTACATATAAAACTTTTACTTTATAGCATAAAGTAAATATCACCTTTTGGCAACTGCTAAGATATTCAACTGCTAAGGGTGCATTCCCAGAGATTTAGATCGATCCAGAGATTTAGATATAGATAAACCTAACTCCCTGGGGGTTCATGCTAAATTGCAGTCAGCCCAGCGCACACCATAGTTAATTACCCCCTTACAGCTTTTAGTAGGCGGGACAGATGCTTTAGCCGGCTAAGCTGACAGTAATCTAGTGAGACTCCCCACAGGGATAGATCAATCTAAAATCTATTTGAATGTGGTCTAAGACTATTTTCCAATTATGGAAACCAAAGACGGTTCAACATTTTATTTGTCTTAAGGCCACACTTTTTTGTTTTTATGGATGACATCCTACGTGCGCACCGATTTTTGTCCGTTCTCCAAATAAAAAAAAAATAATAATCCACCACCCCCCCCC